ACCCAACACCTTAGATACAACAATAAACATTACCCAACACCTTAGATACAACAATAAACACCACCCAACACCTTAGATACAACAATAAACACCCAACACCTTAGATACAACAATAAACATTACCCAACACCTTAGATACAACAATAAACACCCAACACCTTAGATACAACAATAAACATCACCCAACACCTTAGATACAACAATAAACACCACCCAACACCTTAGATACAACAATAAACACCCAACACCTTAGATACAACAATAAACATTACCCAACACCTTAGATACAACAATAAACACCACCCAACACCTTAGATACAACAATAAACACCCAACACCTTAGATACAACAATAAACATTACCCAACACCTTAGATACAACAATAAACACCCAACACCTTAGATACAACAATAAACATCACCCAACACCTTAGATACAACAATAAACACCACCCAACACCTTAGATACAACAATAAACACCCAACACCTTAGATACAACAATAAACATTACCCAACACCTTAGATACAACAATAAACACCACCCAACACCTTAGATACAACAATAAACACCCAACACCTTAGATACAACAATAAACATTACCCAACACCTTAGATACAACAATAAACACCACCCAACACCTTAGATACAACAATAAACACCCAACACCTTAGATACAACAATAAACACCACCCAACACTTTAGATACAACATATAACATCCATCCTATGTATGAATGTATGTTCTTTTGTCTAAAATATTATTATTATTATTATTATTATTATTATTATTATTATTATTATTATTATTATTATTGAGGCTAGAAGTGTCGTCATCAAGAGGGCGCGTGGGACCAATCAGCGGGCGAGCCTGCGTAGCTCCGCCTCCTCGCGCTGCGTCACTGATGACGTCGACAATTTGCGTCACTGGGACTCGGCGATATCAGATGGTGAAGTTTTGTTCGTGAAACTATTTGTTGCTTTCAGTTCCTTTTGTGATTCTGACAATAGGAAATTAACGCGATGTTTCCAACTGAAAGTATTAAAGCTGCTGGGCCTTTGTTATTCAAGGGTTTTGCCTATCTATTGAAATTTAAAAGATAAAAAACTAGGTTTTTGTTGGAAGTGGCAACACTGCATTACAGCTGGAGTAAGTTCCGGAGGGTTGGTAGTGGTGGTGGTAGTAGTGGTGGTAGCCTATGGCAGGGTGGTGGTAGGCTATGGCAGGGTGGTGGTGGTGGTGGTAGTGGTGGTAGCCTATGGCAGGGTGGTGGTGGTGGTAGGCTATGGCAGGGTGGTGGTGGTGGTAGTAGTGGTGGTAGCCTATGGCAGGGTGGTGGTAGGCTATGGCAGGGTGGTGGTGGTGGTAGTAGTGGTGGTAGCCTATGGCAGGGTGGTGGTGGTGGTAGACTATGGCAGGGTGGTGGTGGTGGTAGTGGTGGTAGCCTATGGCAGGGTGGTGGTGGTGGTAGACTATGGCAGGGTGGTGGTGGTAGTAGTGGTGGTAGCCTATGGCAGGGTGGTGGTGGTGGTAGTAGTGGTGGTAGGCTATGGCAGGGTGGTGGTGGTGGTGGTAGACTACGGCAGGGTGGTGGTGGTGGTAGGCTATGGCAGGGTGGTGGTGGTGGTGACCATTGTGGTAGACTATGACAGGGTGGTGGTGGTGGTGGTGACCATTGTGGTAGACTATGACAGGGTGGTGGTGGTGACCATTGTGGTAGACTATGACAGGGTGGTGGTGGTGGTGGTGACCATTGTGGTAGACTATGACAGGGTGGTGGTGGTGGTGGTGACCATTGTGGTAGACTATGACAGGGTGGTGGTGGTGGTGACCATTGTGGTAGACTATGACAGGGTGGTGGTGGTGGTGGTGATCATTGTGGTAGACTATGACAGGGTGGTGGTGGTGGTGACCATTGTGGTAGACTATGACAGGATGGTGGTGGTGGTGGTGGTGGTGACCATTGTGGTAGACTATGACAGGATGGTGGTAGTGGTGGTGGTGGTGGTAGACTATGACAGGGTGGTGGTGGTGGTGGTAGACTATGACAGGGTGGTGGTGGTGGTGGTAGACTATGACAGGGTGGTGGTGGTGGTGGTAGACTATGACAGGGTGGTGGTGGTGGTGGTAGACTATGACAGGGTGGTGGTGGTGGTGACCGTGGTGGTAGACTATGACAGGGTGGTGGTGGTGGTGGTAGACTATGACAGGGTGGTGGTGGTGGTGACCGTGGTGGTAGACTATGACAGGGTGGGGGTGGTGGTGGTGGTAGACTATGACAGGGTGGTGGTGGTAGTGACCGTGGTAGACAAACTATGACAGGGTGGTGGTGGTGGTAGACTATGACAGGGTGGTGGTGGTGGCATTATCAGTAGTATACAGGAGGTCATTGCTCATACCAACTACAGGTGTAAGGGGGGTGGTGAGGTGCGTGTGCGTGTCGGACATTTTCAAGAGGAAACTAGATTTATTCCTCCAAGGAGTGCCGGACCAACCAGGCTGTGGTGGGTATGTGGGCCCGCGGGCCACTCCAAGCAACAGCCTGGTGGACCAAACTCTCACAAGTCAAGCCTGGCCTCGGGCCGGGCTTGGGGAGTAGAACAACTCCCAGAACCCCATCAACCAGGTATATGTGGGCCTGCGGGCCGCTCCAAGCAACAGCCTGGTGGACCAAACTCTCACAAGTCAAGCCTGGCCTCGGGCCGGGCTTGAGCAGTAGAACAACTCCCAGAACCCCATCAACCAGGTATCAACCAGGTAACCAGGTATGTTGTCACCCGTGTTAACCTCCTCCACACTGTCACCTCCATAATGGTGAAGACAGCTCTTGAAGCCACTACAAAGTCCTTTATCACCTCTGAAAAACTATGACATAGCCCTGGAGGCCATGGTGGACGCCCCTGCCGCCCACAATAGCTAGCCCACTATGACATGGCCCTGGAGGCCATGGTGGACGCCCCTGCCGCCCACAATAGCTAGCCCACTATGACATGGCCATGGTGGACGCCCCTGCCGCCCACAATAGCTAGCCCACTATGACATAGCCCTGGAGGCCATGGTGGACGCCCCTGCCGCCCACAAAAGCTAGCCCACTATGACATGGCCCTGGAGGCCATGGTGGACGCCCCTGCCGCCCACAATAGCTAGCCCACTATGACATGGCCCTGGAGGCCATGGTGGACGCCCCTGCCGCCCACAATAGCTAGCCCACTATGACATGGCCCTGGAGGCCATGGTGGACGAGCCATGGAAAGTAAACTAATGTAAACCAGACCATTTAATAGACTAGAGAAAACTTGATGTTCAACACAGACAAGTTCTACCTCCTACACTATGGTTAAAATTAATAAAACACGAACTAGGTATAAGCTAAATTAAACCATATTATAGTAAGGAAAAGCAAAGTAAAAAACCAGGGAATAGTCATGTCTGAAGACCTTGTTAAGAACACGCAGTAGTTGTCACAACTGCAAGAACAATTACAAGCAAAGCAAATGTTTATTTAGGTAAAGTACATACATACAAGGAGTGATACATATTTTGATGAATGTATAGAGCTAATACATACAATGCCTAAAGCCACTATTACGCAAAGCGTTTCGGGCAGTTATTCGGACAAGCCGGATAACAAGAACCTTTTAGACAAGATATGCCAGCCAATGATGGTTCTCTTTAAGACAATAGTGCTGTCTTGGATGTAATATTGTCACATATTAATGGCACCATCCAAAGCTGGACAATTTGCTGACCTGGAGAACGTGAAGGAACATTTACTGCACGAATCCATTCAATAAATACAAAGTATTGTGAACGTTAAAAAAGTCTAACTCTGTATTCTCTTCAATAATCTTGTATAAGCCAACTTCATCGTCATACTTCAGAGCTTCTAATTAGATTAAAAAAAACTGTATTCTCTTGAAAGCAGGCGAGTAATGTATACATAATTTACACTGGTTCCAAACCTGTGCACTGAAATTGTTCCTCTCCGGAAGCCGGTCGGCCGAGCGGACAGCACACTGGACTTGTGATCCTGTGGTCCCGGGTTCGATCCCGGGCGCCGGTGAGAAACAATTGGCAGACTTTCTTTCACCCTATGCCCCTGTTACCTAGCAGTAAAATAGGTACCTGGGTGTCAGTCAGCTGTCACGGGCTACTTCCTGGGGGTGGAGGCCTGGTCGATGACTGGGCCGCGGGGACACTAAAAGCCCCGAAATCATCTCAAGATAACCTCTCGAGTTCAGAAGTCATGGTAGAGAATGTGTGTGTGTGTAAAATATTACCATTGAAACGCAGAGGTACTCGATAGAGTGTTTTACAAACATTAAGGGTTTAACACCCTCCCTCTAAATGTAAGGGGCATAACCTGCCCAAGTCTGCTGCCGTTTTACGAGGGGATTTGATAAACACTCTTGTCAGAGGGTAGCTGATCAACCAGGCTGTGATTTCTACGTCAAACTGCGTGCGGTAGATTCCAACAACCTGGTTGGCCAGACTGTCAAGCAGGAGACTTGCAGCCAGATTCACGAAGCAGTTACGCAAGCACTTACGAACGTGTACATCTTTTCTCAATCTTTGGCGGCTTTGTTTACATTTATTAATTAAACAGTTTACAAGCATAAAAACTTGCCAATCAACTGTTGTTATTGTTATAAACAGCCTCCTGGTGCTTCGCAGCTCATTAACTGTTTAATAATTGTAAACAAAGCCGCCAAAGATTGAGAAAAGATGTACAATTTCGTAAGTGTTTGCATAAGTGCTTTCGTGAATCTGCCCCCTGGTCAGAGACTGGACTACAAGGACACAGACCTTGGGGACCCAACACAAGGTATCCACAGTGACAATGAGACCATCCACATCAATCTTCTATTCAATCCACTGTACCAACTCACCAACTGTGTCCTCAACACTATTGTCGGATGTGTGAGCTGCTCTCTAAGATACACATGACCTGCTGGACTATATGTAGTTACGTGTAAGACAGTAATATGTGTTTTTACCTCAGGTGGAGGGCGGAGGAGGCCTAAAGATGACTCTACATTGGGAGAAACTTTCACCTGCAGAGTTCCAGCAACTGCAGGACTTTACTGCCTGTGAGTATACCTGACTCTCTTGTTGGTTGAGTATACCTGCCTCTCTTGTGAGTATACCTGCCTCTCTTGTTGCTTGTGAATATACCTGTCCCTCTTGTGAGTATACCTGCCTCTCTTGTTGCTTGTGAGTATACCTGCCTCTCTTGTTGCTTGTGAGTATACCTGCCCCTCTTGTTGCTTGTGAGTATATCTGTCCCTCTTGTTGCTTGTGAGTATACCTGTCCCTCTTGTTGCTTGTGAGTATACCTGTCCCTCTTGTTGCTTGTGAGTATACCTGTCCCTCTTGTTGCTTGTGAGTATACCTGTCCCTCTTGTTGCTTGTGAGTATACCTGTCACTCTTGTTGCTTGTGAGTATACCTGTCACTCTTGTTGCTTGTGAGTATACCTGTCCCTCTTGTTGCTTGTGAGTATACCTGTCACTCTTGTTGCTTGTGAGTATACCTGTCCCTCTTGTTGCTTGTGAGTATACCTGTCCCTCTTGTTGCTTGTGAGTATACCTGTCCCTCTTGTTGCTTGTGAGTATACCTGTCCCTCTTGTTGCTTGTGAGTATACCTGTCCCTCTTGTTGCTTGTGAGTATACCTGTCCCTCTTGTTGCTTGTGAGTATACCTGTCCCTCTTGTTGCTTGTGAGTATACCTGTCCCTCTTGTTGCTTGTGAGTATACCTGTCTCTCTTGTTGCTTGTGAATGAAGCGTCTGGTTGTGAATCCACCCTCAGACACTCTGGGTGTTCTTGCTACACCCTCAGACACTCTGGGTGTTCTTGCTACACCCTCAGACACTCTGGGTGTTCTTGCTACACCCTCAGACACTCTGGGGTGTTCTTGCTACACCCTCAGACACTCTGGGGTGTTCTTGCTACACCCTCAGACACTCTGGGGTGTTCTTGCTACACCCTCAGACACTCTGGGGTGTTCTTGCTACACCCTCAGACACTCTGGGGTGTTCTTGCTACACCCTCAGACACTCTGGGGTGTTCTTGCTACACCCTCAGACACTCTGGGGTGTTCTTGCTACACCCTCAGACACTCTGGGGTGTTCTTGCTACACCCTCAGACACTCTGGGGTGTTCTTGCTACACCCTCAGACACTCTGGGGTGTTCTTGCTACACCCTCAGACACTCTGGGGTGTTCTTGCTACACCCTCAGACACTCTGGGGTGTTCTTGCTACACCCTCAGACACTCTGGGGTGTTCTTGCTACACCCTCAGACACTCTGGGGTGTTCTTGCTACACCCTCAGACACTCTGGGGTGTTCTTGCTACACCCTCAGACACTCTGGGGTGTTCTTGCTACACCCTCAGACACTCTGGGGTGTTCTTGCTACACCCTCAGACACTCTGGGGTGTTCTTGCTACACCCTCAGACACTCTGGGGTGTTCTTGCTACACCCTCAGACACTCTGGGGTGTTCTTGCTACACCCTCAGACACTCTGGGGTGTTCTTGCTACACCCTCAGACACTCTGGGGTGTTCTTGCTACACCCTCAGACACTCTGGGGTGTTCTTGCTACACCCTCAGACACTCTGGGGTGTTCTTGCTACACCCTCAGACACTCTGGGGTGTTCTTGCTACACCCTCAGACACTCTGGGGTGTTCTTGCTACACCCTCAGACACTCTGGGGTGTTCTTGCTACACCCTCAGACACTCTGGGGTGTTCTTGCTACACCCTCAGACACTCTGGGGTGTTCTTGCTACACCCTCAGACACTCTGGGGTGTTCTTGCTACACCCTCAGACACTCTGGGGTGTTCTTGCTACACCCTCAGACACTCTGGGGTGTTCTTGCTACACCCTCAGACACTCTGGGGTGTTCTTGCTACACCCTCAGACACTCTGGGGTGTTCTTGCTACACCCTCAGACACTCTGGGGTGTTCTTGCTACACCCTCAGACACTCTGGGGTGTTCTTGCTACACCCTCAGACACTCTGGGGTGTTCTTGCTACACCCTCAGACACTCTGGGGTGTTCTTGCTACACCCTCAGACACTCTGGGGTGTTCTTGCTACACCCTCAGACACTCTGGGGTGTTCTTGCTACACCCTCAGACACTCTGGGGTGTTCTTGCTACACCCTCAGACACTCTGGGGTGTTCTTGCTACACCCTCAGACACTCTGGGGTGTTCTTGCTACACCCTCAGACACTCTGGGGTGTTCTTGCTACACCCTCAGACACTCTGGGGTGTTCTTGCTACACCCTCAGACACTCTGGGGTGTTCTTGCTACACCCTCAGACACTCTGGGGTGTTCTTGCTACACCCTCAGACACTCTGGGGTGTTCTTGCTACACCCTCAGACACTCTGGGGTGTTCTTGCTACACCCTCAGACACTCTGGGGTGTTCTTGCTACACCCTCAGACACTCTGGGGTGTTCTTGCTACACCCTCAGACACTCTGGGGTGTTCTTGCTACACCCTCAGACACTCTGGGGTGTTCTTGCTACACCCTCAGACACTCTGGGGTGTTCTTGCTACACCCTCAGACACTCTGGGGTGTTCTTGCTACACCCTCAGACACTCTGGGGTGTTCTTGCTACACCCTCAGACACTCTGGGGTGTTCTTGCTACACCCTCAGACACTCTGGGGTGTTCTTGCTACACCCTCAGACACTCTGGGGTGTTCTTGCTACACCCTCAGACACTCTGGGGTGTTCTTGCTACACCCTCAGACACTCTGGGGTGTTCTTGCTACACCCTCAGACACTCTGGGGTGTTCTTGCTACACCCTCAGACACTCTGGGGTGTTCTTGCTACACCCTCAGACACTCTGGGGTGTTCTTGCTACACCCTCAGACACTCTGGGGTGTTCTTGCTACACCCTCAGACACTCTGGGGTGTTCTTGCTACACCCTCAGACACTCTGGGGTGTTCTTGCTACACCCTCAGACACTCTGGGGTGTTCTTGCTACACCCTCAGACACTCTGGGGTGTTCTTGCTACACCCTCAGACACTCTGGGGTGTTCTTGCTACACCCTCAGACACTCTGGGGTGTTCTTGCTACACCCTCAGACACTCTGGGGTGTTCTTGCTACACCCTCAGACACTCTGGGGTGTTCTTGCTACACCCTCAGACACTCTGGGGTGTTCTTGCTACACCCTCAGACACTCTGGGGTGTTCTTGCTACACCCTCAGACACTCTGGGGTGTTCTTGCTACACCCTCAGACACTCTGGGGTGTTCTTGCTACACCCTCAGACACTCTGGGGTGTTCTTGCTACACCCTCAGACACTCTGGGGTGTTCTTGCTACACCCTCAGACACTCTGGGGTGTTCTTGCTACACCCTCAGACACTCTGGGGTGTTCTTGCTACACCCTCAGACACTCTGGGGTGTTCTTGCTACACCCTCAGACACTCTGGGGTGTTCTTGCTACACCCTCAGACACTCTGGGGTGTTCTTGCTACACCCTCAGACACTCTGGGGTGTTCTTGCTACACCCTCAGACACTCTGGGGTGTTCTTGCTACACCCTCAGACACTCTGGGGTGTTCTTGCTACACCCTCAGACACTCTGGGGTGTTCTTGCTACACCCTCAGACACTCTGGGGTGTTCTTGCTACACCCTCAGACACTCTGGGGTGTTCTTGCTACACCCTCAGACACTCTGGGGTGTTCTTGCTACACCCTCAGACACTCTGGGGTGTTCTTGCTACACCCTCAGACACTCTGGGGTGTTCTTGCTACACCCTCAGACACTCTGGGGTGTTCTTGCTACACCCTCAGACACTCTGGGGTGTTCTTGCTACACCCTCAGACACTCTGGGGTGTTCTTGCTACACCCTCAGACACTCTGGGGTGTTCTTGCTACACCCTCAGACACTCTGGGGTGTTCTTGCTACACCCTCAGACACTCTGGGGTGTTCTTGCTACACCCTCAGACACTCTGGGGTGTTCTTGCTACACCCTCAGACACTCTGGGGTGTTCTTGCTACACCCTCAGACACTCTGGGGTGTTCTTGCTACACCCTCAGACACTCTGGGGTGTTCTTGCTACACCCTCAGACACTCTGGGGTGTTCTTGCTACACCCTCAGACACTCTGGGGTGTTCTTGCTACACCCTCAGACACTCTGGGGTGTTCTTGCTACACCCTCAGACACTCTGGGGTGTTCTTGCTACACCCTCAGACACTCTGGGGTGTTCTTGCTACACCCTCAGACACTCTGGGGTGTTCTTGCTACACCCTCAGACACTCTGGGGTGTTCTTGCTACACCCTCAGACACTCTGGGGTGTTCTTGCTACACCTCAGAAACAAACAGTTCTCGTGGTGTTAATGTTTCACCCGCGGACAGCCATAATCTCTACCAGACACAAGATAAACAGGAGTTATTGCGACTATAGATTCAAGTAATTAAAAAGTTAGCAAGTGCCTTGTCTAGTGAGTAAATGAAACCTGGCGGGTATTGTCCGTAGAGTGTACCGAGTGAGCCTCGGGTATGTTATTAGTAGTGCTAAGGTAGCGTGAGTATACCCGAGGTATATGTGTGAATATGTAATCTTGAACTGATTATTTATAAGGTGTGTGTATCTGGGGCTTTGTATCCCAGCTGGTGTGGGTTCCAGCTGGTGTATGTGTCAGCTGGTGTGGGTGCCAGCTGGTGTGGGTGCCAGCTGGTGTGTCAGCTGGTGTGGGTGCTAGCTGGTGTGGGTGCCAGCTGGTGTATGTGTCAGCTGGCGTGGGTGCCAGCTGGTGTGGGTGCCAGCTGGTGTGGGTGCCAGCTGGTGTGGGTGCCAGCTGGTGTGGGTGTCAGCTGGTGTGGGTGCCAGCTGGTGTGGGTGCCAGCTGGTGTATGTGTCAGTTGGTGTGGGTGCCAGCTGGTGTGGGTGCCAGCTGGTGTATGTGTCAGCTGGTGTGGGTGCCAGCTGGTGTATGTGTCAGCTGGTGTGGGTGCCAGCTGGTGTGTCAGCTGGTGTGGGTGCCAGCTGGTGTGGGTGCCAGCTGGTGTGGGTGCCAGCTGGTGTGGGTGCCAGCTGGTGTGGGTGCCAGCTGGTGTGGGTGC